CTTTATCTTCTGATAAAAATGCAGCTCTGAAAGATCATTCTTAATAACCTAATAGTTATCATGAAACCAGAAGTTAATTAATTAAATATTAAAATTTCTAGACTTTATAAGACTAATCCATATATGTGTGTGTGTGTGTGTGTGTGTATTAATGACTGGAAAGGCTTAATAGAGAAACAATACTATCTTCATAATCTCAGCTCTTCACACGTGTTACTGTTTTCTCTAAATTATTATCTGTTCAACAACTGTAGGTGTCCCAGAAAAAATTCGGTTAAATTTCTGAAACTTTCATTTCTAAACAGACACACGCACAGACGAGGGCGTCGCTGTTCTCCTTCATTAGGGGGTTCGGATATTTTTTTTAGTTCTTGGTTTTGTTGATTAATTGGTTTCGAAAACAAAACGTATACGTAATTTGGGGGTGGTCCCACGGTCTTAACGTGTTCCTGCTAGAGGGCGTTTTCTTGTGCTCTTTCCTTTCTTGTTACTCGCGTGGTTTGAATTTGAACGGTATTTTCCGATAATTTAACGCAGGACTAAGCATAACCTATTTAGTTTTATACCTTACAGAATAAACGACCACGTAGATCTTCCTATAAAATACAAATAGACAGTCACCACGTTTATTTTATTTATGAAACAAAATCTTAGTATTTTACTAACCTTATTTCATATTTCTTTTCGACAGAAAGATTGTTTCATAATTTTGTTCTTAAGTTCTAGTACCTTATATTATACAAACATATAATATCGTGTTTTGTTGCGCTTGCGGCTACAACAGTAATTGATAAATGACCTTCTGAAAAACAATTATATTCTAGCCTTGACCGATATTACTGAAGTGACATGCAACACGGCCACAGTTAACAATGACATGTGATACTAAATATTTACGCAGTGTTTGCCAGAAGTGAAACAATATCCGAGTCAAGGGGATATCAATACTTTCGAAGGCGAAATATAGAAAAAGGTACAAAGAAAAACTGCAAATTTATCTCTTACAAACAAGCGGAAAGCTGCACATTAGGGCTGCGTTCACTGCGGGGATCGAACCCCGAATTAGCGTTATAAGCCCTTAACATTACTGCTGAGCCACCGCGGGAAGAGATGAAGACAATAATACAACTTTTGCTTCTTGACTGTCTCCCGGTGATACAGCGAACAAACAACGTTTAAATCCGGGGTTCGATTCTTCGAGGTGGACAAAGCAGATAGCCCAATGTGGCTCTGTAATAAAACAAAGTTACTTGCCTGTTAAAGCAAACATAAACGTTGCTTCTTTTTCAGGGAGAAGAGACGAATTTTTTTATAAAAAATTGTTTGAGTTAAAAAATTAACAAGACCTGACTAGATTAATAAATGTATATATAAACTGGTTGGTTATTAATTGATTGCTAGGAAGTTATCAATAATTTTGCTTTACATATGTCACACAGTTTAGTTATTGTGTATAGGTTGGTTGGTTTTGAGTTTCGCGCAAAGCTACAAGAGCGCTATCTGCGCTAGCCATCCATAATTTAGCAGTGATAGACTAGAGAGAAGGCAGCTAGCCAACAACGCCCACCGCAAACTCTTGGACTACTCTTTTCCCAACGAATAGTGGGAGTGACCCAGTCAGGCGCCCTAACCACCTGACCCTGCCGGGACGTATATTGTCTATATCCAGTTGTTTTTAAAATTAATGAAACATTGGCTTTTTGGAACATGTTTTTTGTTGCTGGTTTCTTATTGAAAAGCTATACAATGGGCTATCGGTACTCAGTCCACACCAGGGAATCATTAAATCACCGTTGTATGTCAGTCAATAAACTTACTGTTGTCTCACCGGGAGACTTGGAGTTTTTTAAAGTTAATAATATAATCAATCAACGCAATTGTAACAGATTTTGTTACAATAATATTAGTTTATTTTATTTTTTCGCATCAACTTTTTTGTTCTGAAGTCTAATCTTTTTCAAAAATGTGTCCACAGAATAGCCTGAGACATCTACTTGTCAGTTCTATTTCTGATCTCTGGAATTGTCATTCCTCGTGTACTTTTGTTTGTTTGGGCTCAGCTGCTCTTAACAGCAACAATTACCTAATATGACTGGTTGGTCCAATTTTCACGGTTTTTAGGAAAGTTTTTTACCATTGATTTCAATTTTATTGCTTTTAATTCATATTTTAACTTATATGTTTTTTTTTATATTCCTTGCTT